ACGACCGTCCTTTGCGATCTTGACGTGTTCGCCGTCGTTGTTCAAGTAGATGATGTTATCACCCGGCCCCCCAACGGAGTAGTGATCGGGACCGGAGTAGTCCTCTTTCTTCTTCTCTGCGAGCTCCTCCGTCTTCTCATCCTCGATCGCGTCAATCTCGCTAGTTCTTGACTTCAGATCCCCATCTGGTGGATCAGGCGCATCATCGTCACCGCCTTGGTCGTCACTGTCGTCGGGATCGGGTAACTCGGGATTGGTAGGTGCATCTGGAGAACCGGCTCTCTCCTTCAGGACTTTCATTCCTTCGAGAGTGCTGTTCAACCTCTCGTACTCTTTCTTCAAAGGGAATTCTATTCCGTCGTCCTGGAAGATCTTCTCGGTGATGTGAGGAGTAATCAGTTTCCTCAACGGTCTCTCGGCATCATAACCTAGATTCTGTTGAGCGAAGTCGCTTATAGCCCATACTTTGTATTTCCTCGACCAGTTCATCCCGGTCCCCATAACGTACCCTGCGAAGATACCAGGTATGCTTTTGGGGTCGAACTTGTGATCTTGGTCTCTTTCTCTTGCATCACTAGGTTTGAAGAACACCTTCGCCCCGAGTGGTATCACCATGCCTGGGAATTCGCTCTTGTGCAACTTCAACCATGCACTGCTGCCATCGCTCAGCTTCTCGATGTTCAACAAATGGCTTACGCATTCCACTGCAAATGGCCAAAAGCATGGTGGTAGTCCGGCTTCTAGTAGGCATGTCGATGTGGTAAGCATCATGAACTGATTGTTTCTTTCGGCGAGTGAATTGTTCTGGGGGTGTCCTGGAAGCGACTGGTCTAGTGGAATCCGGAGTTCCTTGAGTGCTGCTTCAAATTGTGGCGCATCATCCGAGTAAGCGTTGGTGACCTTTCTCTTACCGATATAATGCTTCATCGCCTGCACCACTTCGTCACTATTGCTTGCTTTCAAAGGATAGCCCCATATCACACCAGTGAACCGATCTCGAATCACCAATACATCCTTATCCGGCATGATCCCATCTCTCGCCATCTTCTGAGTGTTCATGAGATCGAAAGTGATGAGGTCACCGAATGCCTTCAATTTGCGTTTGAAAGCTCCCTTGCTAGTCTTGTAGTGCTTCATCTTTGCTCTCACACATGACTTGCAGTATGGGTTCTTGTATCGGTGTGTCATCAGGTGCAATATGGATTTCGCCTCGTTCTTCAGCACTCCTGGTTTTGATAGTCTGGCTTCCCCGTCAACCACGTCGACTTCCAGTAGTCCCTCTTCATCTTCACCAATGTCACTCTCCTCTCGTTCAGAATCCGCATCACCTCCGTGTTCGTCGTCTTCGGCTTCTTCAGGTTGACCTTCGTGACCACGATCGATTCTCGGATCTCCTCCGTCATATTCTTCTTCAGGAGAATATCCGTCATCACCGTGTTCCTCTGGTTCTCCTTCGGCGCCTGCAACAGCTGGATTGATATCAGATTCACCATCCCGATCTCTCTGGTTATCCTTCTTCTTTCTCCTTCGTCTCCGTGGTTTCTTGGGCGGAGGTTCCTCTTGTTGTGTCTCCTGACCTGCTGTGGCCTCGTCTTCATGCCCCACACCTGACAGTATGCGATGAAGTATCGTAGCCAAGCCGTCTGATCTTGGTAAACATCTCCCGTCATCATCATTCACCTTGATGTAGGGTATGTTGTCATGCACCGATAGCGGAATCTTGTTCGCGTTCTGGTCGATGAGGTATGGCAATTGATTTGCCGGCCATATGAATGAGTACCCTTGTTCCATGCACCGTTTCCCGATGGAAAAGACTGATGGTGTGCTCTCCAACACGTGTGCCTCGGACATCATGGGTAGTTCGTCCACATTGATGTCCACCATCTCTGATGTACTAGTTACACCATTCGCTGTCGTGAAGCTCACGGATTTGGGTCCTTCCTTGGTGGTAAGGCCCATGGCATTGACTTTCTCTCTTGAGATCAAGTCGTGTCCACATCCCGTGTCCATGATGAAGCGTATCGGTGGTCCATCATACCTCTCCACAGCCATGAACATCGTGTCTCCCGGTATCGTATAGTTGACAGAATCCCTCCTTACTACCTCGCTGGTGTTTAAGTCAGACAGATCGACGTTCACCTCGATTCCTTCATCTTGAGTGATTTGTATCCATGCCTTGGCAATGTGTTCAGCAGAGTATAGCTCCATCATCTTACCTTTGGCATGTGCTACTCGTGCAGCTATATTGTTCACTCTGAGGGCTCTCAACGACGAAATGAGCTCGGTATCCACCTTCTGCACCTCATCCTTCTTCTTCCTGAGAGGACGGGTGTTTAGCTCGTTACCAGGATCGCAGGTAAACGTGGTCACACTCGCCCGGTCGTCGAATCTGACTTTAAAGCGAAGCGCCAGCTTACCTCGTTGTACGTTGGGAAGTGCGGGTCGCGCGTCCTCGCCATCACTATCGATGTCTCCGCAAAGCATGAAGGCTGGCGCAGCCGGTTTGGGCTTGGCTTTGCCTTTAGCCTCTTGTTTTGTAGCAGGAGCAGCGTGATGCTGGCGTCGACATTTGTCCCCGAACTTGCACGATCCTTTCTGCCAATTCCAACAGACCTGATCCTTTATTGGTTTAGGGCTAGTGCTCCTGCCACTAGGACTCTTGGATCTGTCACCCTTGAGGCTTTCTGGTTTCTTAGCAGAACTTTTGTGCTTCTCTTGGTGACTAAACTTGCATTTATCTCCTCTAGAACATCCATTTTTCCCATGGAAGTGGAAGGCGCATCCTATCTTGGACGTATCTGCTGGAGTCGCTGACCTGCCACGATCCCCTTTTGGGCTCTTCGTGGTTGATCTTCCACGATCCTGCTTCTTGTCCTTCTTGTTGTGGTCCTTCGGATTAGCCTGAGGAAGTACTGGAGCGGCGTCCTTCGGTGGATCGGCCTTGGT